AAACTTGTAGATGGTCTTAGGAATTATTGCACATTGCACTGTTAAGATCTACTGACTAAAGGACAGTTCTCATCTCTCCCTAAGGACCAAGGATGTTGAGGTCTCAAGAATTTCCTCCAGTGGAAAAAAAAAAAAGGAGAAATAAAAATACTTCTTTCCTCTTTGTTTATGAATTTAGCCACTGATTTGCTTAAGCTTCTGCTAATAATTAGCCAAAAACCCCCCTAACAAGCAGTTTCTCTTCTGTACACCTAAACCGCTCTAGTATTTTGTTGGAATTGACTGTAAATACAGCTCCAAACCCCTCCCCGCTTACTGGCACTTCACTGCCTTACTGGGTTAGCGTAATCTGCATGAAATTGCTCTTTAAAACGTTTCTGCTCATTTTTGTTGCGTTCTGCAAGGGAAAAAAACAACCATGTTTACAAACCTGACAGAGTTCAGTGACGAACACGTGGGAGCCATGGGATGATCGTATTGATACAGAGAACGCTTGTCAGTTGTGTTCCTCACATTCCCCCCGTTACTGCGCGAGTGTATGTTCAGATGTTCCCGACAGGACCGTGTCGGGTATGATTTTTCTATGCCTTTTCTTTTACTACAAGGCTGTTTTCAGCAAGTGGCATTGCCAGGATCAAACTGTCTCACGATGTGTGTGTACTGACTCCTTTTATTCACTTGTTTGTCCTTCGACGTGAGCTGGTGGTGGCTTTAGGAGGTTTCTTGAGGGCAGAAAAAGGAAATGTAAATAATATCACCTGCATTTTACAATCGGTTCCCCTTAACGTTATCTTTTACTAGCAAGATACATTTTGTTCATCATTGATTTATATTAAAGTCGACGAATGTTATTGGTACATTCAGTGGTTGCATATATTTGTCGTCTTGAAAGCCCGTGGGGAGAGCACGCAGGATGTGTATGTGAACTTGCAAGCAGAGCCAAAATGAGTTTGCTGTAGTTGTATTTGACTACAACCCCATAAGCACACCCATGCTCCAGTTCTAACGGGTTAGCTGTGTAACCTCCTCACATCCCATCCTCTGACAGGCATGCGGGTAACTTCACCTCCAGCTATCTCCACTCACCCAAGTGAAGGTAAGCTGATGTGTTTGCAGGGTTTAGCACTTATAACGCCTCGAGCTGTCAAGGACAGTTGGAATGGAATTGTTTTCACTGGAGAGAAGATGCAGTTCAGCAAATTCAAAAGCACCTAATTTATTTCATTTTACTGAGATTTGGTCAAAAAGGGTAAAAAGAGGAAAGTTGGAGAAGATTTAAAAGGAAATTCTCCTGGTTTTCTTCCTTAAAGCGACTTCCTTCTGAGCTACCTTTGATGATAAAATATCCGAAAAGATCCAGATCTGCACAGAATCACAGAATGTTCTGAGTTTACAACAGAAATACTTGGTTCAGCCTGGGATTGTTTTCCTGCAGAGCTTAAACATTTTTAGTTGTCTTTAAGTGAAAACAGGACCAATTGCACCGCTCTGCACCCACAGAATGTCCATTCTTCCTCTGCAGACATTTCTGGTGTTCCATTAAAATCCCTGGCTTATTGTGACCAACTCACACTGGCATCCAGTTCTGGTCCCTCACTCTCAGTGCCAAGCTTTTCACTGGTTCCAGCGGAAGCAGGGGGTGTTTTGTGGAGTATCCACACAGAGCTGCAATCCCAGGAGGATCTGAAGCCTGCAGTGTTCCTGGTGTCCAGCTCCACAGTGGCTGGCTGCTTTAGTTGGAATCTGGAGCTCAGTTCCCCACCTTGTAACTGGTACAGGGGCGTTTTGAGAGGGATTTGGGCATCCCAAGCCACACAGTAACAGCCACACTGGCTGTATTTATGGGATCCAAGAAGCTGTGTGGGTTCAGGTAGATCCTTCAGGACCTATTGGGCAAGAGTGCATTGCCCAGACTGTGTGGTAGGCATTTCTCTGTGAGCAGCACTGCTGGGCGCACATAGCCTGCCCTCACCACGACTGGCTGTGTTAGTTCTGGCCCACGGGCATCTCCTGATGGTTCATTTATTAGCTCAGCTCCTTTCTGTGTTCATTAAGTTTTACCAGATCACCCATCACAAGTTCCACACTTGCTTTCTGCATGTTGTTACACCTCCCTAAAGCACCGGTGCAATCACAGCCAGGGTTACAAGTACTCATTAACTGATAACGGGTGTTAGAAATGAACCCCCATCCAAAAACCTACACAAAGTTTACTCGTACAAGAGAATCAGCCAGAGCCTGGGGGCAGAATTCCCCCTGCACCCCGGTCCTGTCTGTGCCAGTGGAAGTGGGTTTTCACTCACTTCACCTGCATCAGCACAGAGGCCTCAGAGTGGGATCTGGGGCTGTGATTGCTGAATTAGCCAAGCCCAGCACCAGAGACGTGCTGGTGTTTGAGAGATGGGGATCTGCTTCTCGCAGCACTTTGTTTTGCAGACATCATGGAGCAAAGGAGCTGTCAGGAAGCTCTCCATGCTCTGAGGAGTTCCAATTATTTTCTTTCCTTCTTAATCTTCCCAGTCTGTGCCCATCAAATACAATAACCATGTCAATTTAATTAGGGAGCTGCTTCACGTGTTCTGAAACACCATCTCCCAGGGGAAGACCAGGGCGGCTGTTGGGCACTGTGTGTACAACAGAGGTGCAGACACTGCTTTCCCCTCAAGCACTGCCGGAGCTGTCACTGCTGGTTCCGGATCACAAACAGGTTGTAGTGCTGTACAGTGGGTCAGTTTGATTTACTTTGCTGAGGGTCCGCAGAGGATTTAGTATCATTCCCAACATGCCTTGTGGCTATTCCCAAGACAGGCTGCATCCCCAGCAAAGCAGCTCACGTGTGATTCGTGGAGTTAGGTGATGATGTGTGTGTAAATAATGCTTTGATATGAATAAAACTGCCTTAAAGGAATGTACCGAGGTGTGAAACAACTCAAAAAGCTCTTATTTAAATCTGTAATTTCCTTTACATATTGATTTTTTTTAATGTTTGCCACTGTAAACATTTATTAATGATGTTATTAAAATGCCAAACCAAATAATTCTTACCCTTGTGTGTACATCTATACACACTCTCTCTGGAGACTGATGTTGCTGGAAGGATGTTGGTGTTCAGCTGTGGTCAGTGAGTCCTCACTGCTGATGCAGAATCTTTCCTGGACAGTGTTAGTTTGTGTTGTTTCTCTGTGTGTGGCTGCTCACTAGACACTATTTTGATATTATTTAAATAAAAAAGGCACTAATTTCATAAGTAAATGGAAAAAGAAACCATTATAGATTTGCCAAATGTAGCACTTAGAGCTTTGATTTTGCTTGGTTGTTACTTCTGCTGAGAGAAGTCTCCGAGTCTCTCCTGAGGACAAAGGTAGTTAAATTTTAGGCAGTACAGAGCTGGAGATCCATGAAGCACAGTAAAGTGCTGTGTGCACGTGTCTTTAAAACAGCTTTTCACATTTAAAGCTTTCTGGATATAAAAACCTTGACAAGTCAAATATCATTTGGGGTTTAAGTTATAAAGTATTCTGGGGTACCACAAAGAAACCTTAAGTAAATTCTACTTTTAAAGACACATAAGACAGTATCCACGTGTTCCTTTCAGTCCTTTCTTCAACTACACACATAAAACCACATGTATCTGGACATCATTCTAGTGACTCTTCCTACAGCATCGACATTTTTAGGTCACCTCATTCCCACTTGACATGACTGCAGTGATAGATGGGCTTGGTTTGTGTCTTTGGAATACGGAGGGGAGAATTTAACAGCAGAACACTTACGAGACAGGAGTTCAAGCGCACGGCCCTGAGAACAGGTTATCAGATCCTTTGGAGGATTTGAAGGACACTGTGGGAAGGCTGTTCGTGCAGTGACTTGCTTTGCCCTGGAAGATGCTTTTTCTTAGCTGGTCACTGTGTAGAATGTAAAGTTTCACTTTCTTATTAAGAAAAAGAATAGGAAAAAATGCTGCATCCTTTAGAGTGATGCAGTAGCAAATAGTCATCCAAGATCACGAGGTCCTTAATGGGGTTTTTCTTCATCCTTCTGTGTTCTGTCTCCAGTTTGTTGGTGTTATTGCTTGTACGTGACATTTTCGTTAGGCTGTGTTCAGAAGCCCTTTTCCTCATCATCTTCACATTGTGTCCCTTGCTTTCACTGCTCCCATCTCTGGGTTTTGGAAGGGTACCTGTTGCCACAGCACATTTACTGGACTTCATGGAGTTTCTGCTGCTTCTGTCTTCAACACACATTCTGTTTGAAGGGGGTTTATTCATTTAGGCAAGAGAGGAGGAGAAGGGATTGAGAGATTGCGTGTTGAGCATGTAGTGGTCATGCAACAGTGGATGTTTCTCTGTACAAAGTATCACGTATTGAAAGCCAAATCGGCCTCCCCTCAACCTCTAGGCACACATGGATGTTTGTCAGGGGAAGGCAGTCTCCTTTTCCCAATGGGAGAAGCTCAAGTACAGCCCCTTGTTGTATCCTTCTCTCCACTTGTGTAGGTGTTGGTTAAGGTACACTGGAGCACAGACACAACAAAACCATACACAGACATTGGTGCAGCTCCCGATTGTATTAACTTTGCTCCCAAGCATCACCAACACAGATCAGGAACCCACAGTAATGTTACTCCTTCGAGCTCTTCCGTTAGAAGGGAGGCTGGTACCAGGGTTTGTATCCCAGTTGCTGAGAAGCTCTAGAAATGAGTGAGGTGCATGTCTGTGCTCACGGGGCAAGCACAAGGTAACTTCCCAAGGGGGGGATATTTGAAAGTGAAAATGCAGCTAAAAACATAGACAATCAAATGTGGTTTTGGTAGTGTAGGCAAACTGTTTTTTTCTACGTGAAAAAAGGAAAGCAATGTGTAGTAGAGGATGAGTAGGTACAGGTACGCAGCAGAGACACCTCTGTCCTGTGTGTACTGACAATATTGTGGAACTTTAATTTCTTAGATCCTAATGATGTTTTAAGTTTAACCCTTCAGGGCCAGTACCACACATGGGAAGTTCCAGTTTTATCTGTTTTGTTAATAAAGACTGTAACATTATTTAAGTAACACCTTTTCTGGTTACTCAGTGATGGACTGCAAACATGTCTTTTTAAGAATATCCTGTTCAACGTCTAATGACCCAAAGACCCAATGAATTTTTTCTCCCCAGATCATAAATTTACACAATTGAAAGAGTAAAAAGGAGTGAGCCTGGGTTTTCCAGTTTTATTTGTAATGAGACTTTTGTCAGTTGTATTTTACAAAACCTATGCCTCGCCATAAAAAAGTGAACTTCAGCTACTTTGTGTCCTCATCAAAACGTATGATGATGGGATCGTGCCCTGTTGATCTCACAAACCTCAAGAAGTCGTCAGGGCTCAAACCCATGGTTGCACAGTTTGTCATTGGGTGGAAATACACCTTCTCGTGGCCACCCTCCAGGAAGGCAGCGTCCAGCACCAGCCTCACCTCCCCCTGGTCACAGAAGAGCGCCAGCGGTGTGGCACAGCCCTGGCCCACCTTCAGCTTTTCCAGCATGGAGTTTTCATCAGCAAACCTCAGGTTCCCGCTTCCAAGGCCCAGTTTTCTTGCGAGGTCAGTTAAACTGATCTGCCTGTCGTGCAGGAGAGTCACCAGCCAGAAGCCTTTCTTCTTTTTGTCCTTAAGGAAGAGGTTTTTACTGTGACCTCCTTTCATGTGTTGGACATGAGGCATCATTTCTTCAACAGTGAACACCTGGAAAATGCCATCAGTGCAGTGTGAGACACTGTATCCCGTTAGACTTTTGGTTGTGTACTGGCAGTACCTTTTGTTAAATACTTAGAAAATGACTGAATGTTACACTCAGCCTAAAAACTGTACCCTTTTATGAAGGAGTTTTAACAGAACACAAATAAAATGTGACATAACTGCTCCTGCGCAGTTCCTGATCCATTTCTGTCTTCTATACAGCAAGAACTACACTTTAAAGGTGCAGACAGGCAGGACTGACAGCACTGCTTTTACAGGCAGACGGGGGTGACGTGGCATGCGTGCTTTTAAATGGGAGTGAGAAACACTTTGGAAAGCTTGAGATGCTCTCAACTTCTAAGTGAAGAAGTGGGTGAGCTGCAGCTCCTGAAACTGGAGGGGGGAAAAGGGGAACAGGAACACAGAGAGGGATCAACCCAGCCCCCCAGAAAAACCCAGGAACATTCTGCCAAGCCAATGGCTGCAGGTCCAGTGGGTGGGAGATTCCCTATCGATTCTTACTTATGGTGCAAAATCACCTACAGAGCATAAAGCTGCCCTGCAGCTCGCTCTGCCCTCTGTGTGTGACTGTAACTAGGAAAGATGCGGAGGACGCAGAGAGGGGCGCGCTCGGAGGGAGCAGAGCAGCGGCCCTGACGCGGTCCCTACCTCGGGGTGCTCGGCGGTGACCGTGGCGATGCCCAAGTCCCGCAGCCGCTGCTCCAACGCCTCCCGCAGCTCCGGCGCCGCCGCCATCGCCGCCTCGCTCCGCCGGGGCCGGGCCGGGCCGGGCCGCGCTTCCGCCCCTTCCGCCGTGCAGCGGCCGCCTTCCGCGCTGGTAACGGGGCGGCCGCCTTGCGCTGCCCCTCGCACGGGGACCGGGATCGGAGCCGGGTCCTTCGGCTTGCAGGAACCGGAGCCGGGTCCCTCGGCTTGCAGGAACCGGAGCCGGGTCCCTCGGCTTGCAGGAACCGGAGCCGGGCACCTCGGCTTACAGGAGCCGGAGCCGGGTCCCTCGGCTTGCAGGAACCGGAGCCGGGCACCTCGGCTTGCGCCCCGTTGCTGGGATGGGCGGCGGGGGTAAGCCCTCGGCAGCGCAGTCGGTCAGATGGGAAGTGAGGTCTCGGCCATCCGGTCGAACTGGAAGCAGGGCAGTGTGGAGCTGGTAAGACTGGGTCAGAATGTGAGGTCTCCATCTGTGGAGACACTCAAAACCCGTGGGACGTGATCCTGGTCAGTCTGGGATCCGACCCTGCTCAAGCCAGGGTTTGAGACCATCTCCAGAGGTGCATTCCCACCTCCACTGCTCTGTGATCCCACCACACAGGAGACCAGAGCTTGCTCTCTCCTATGGGGCAGGCGAATCTGTCCCTCCTGTCCTACAGCTCCAGGAGCTTCCTGCCTTCCCCCTTCGGCCTCTCCTGGTTGGAAAGCAGTTATCCATAACACTGCTCCATACGTGTCCCCATACCCCCCCTCCCATGCAGCTGAATACATTCCATGATTCCTAAAACATGTCTTTGTCACACAATGCCTTTAGAACAATACATGCTTTGACATACACTAGGTTTCCCCACCCAACATGAACTGTGTTTGGTTCAAACACTGGTTTCAGAACAGGTATTTGTTCTATATATACCTACCTGCATATGCCCACTGTAATTTCAGGAGCCAGCTTAGTTTTGCTGAAATGTTGCTGCTAAAGAAGGAAGTTAAGAAAGAATCAAAGCTAGAAAAACCAAAATAAACTCTTTAGGGAATGAGACACATTAAAAAGGAGAACTGCAAAATCAAATGTGGGGTTTTTTAAAGGCAGCCAGTAATAACGAAGAGCTGCCACTAAGGGATAAAGCCAAGCAGTAACGGCCACAGTTAAGTGGAAACTATTTCTACAACCCAAACCATGGTCCTGACTTGTGACATCAGAAACTGTCTGTTTTCAGTTTGCCCTGCAGGAAAACAGGCAATCTGTGATGAAGCTTTAAATTAGAACAGCATGGATCTGTGGCTAAGAGACACGTGGATACAGTATGACCCACGCTAATTCCCAGAGCCTTAGAGCAGCACACAAAGATTTGCAGTGGAAGATCAACCCAAAAAGCAGATTTGCACCAAGCTCTGGTGACTGTTTTGTGTGATAAATTTACCTTTTAAATAGAGTTTTCCAGGTGAATCCCAGGCTCATGTGAAGGACACAGTGCCCTCAGGATGACAGCTGGCAGCTCTGTGGGTCATAGAACCATAGAATAGTTAGGGTTGGAAAGGACCTTAAGATCATCCAGTTCCAACCCCCCTGCCATGGGCAGTGTCCTGGGTTCAGCAGTAGCAGTCATTTTTCTCCTTCTTGGTAGCTTGTGCAGTGCTGTGTTTTGACTTTCGGCCTGGGAGCAGTGCTGATAACAATGATGTTTTGGTTTGGCCAAGGACTTTGTGAGCCTCATGCTCTGACAGAGAGGAGGGAAGCCGGGAGGAAGCAGAGACAGGACACCCGACCCAAACTGACCAAAGCCATATTCCATACCACAGCACGTCATGCCCTGGGTGTAACTGAGAGTTACCCGGAAGGGCTGAGACTGCAGGGTTGGAGGAGGTATTGGTCAGTGCTTGGTCGGGCTGGGGGGGTGAGTTATCGGTCGGCTGGTGGTGAGGTGGTGTATTATCTTCCCTTGTTATTTCCTTTATCATTACTATTATTGGTGGTAGCAGTAGTGATTTGTGTTATACCTTAGTTACTGAACTGTTCTTATCTCAACCCGTGGGAGTTGCATTCTTTCTGATTCTCCTCTCCGTCCCCCCAAGAGTAGCGGGAGGGCAAGAAGTGGGGGGGGAGTGAGTGAAAGCTGTCTGGGTGGAGTTAAACCACGACAGGCAGGGACACCTCACACTAAACCATGGCACCCAAGGCTCTGTCCAACCTGGCCTTGAACAGTGCCAGGGATGGAGCATTCACAGCTTCCCTGGGCAACCCATTCCAGTGCCTCACCACCCTCACAGGAAAGAACTTCTTCCTTATATCCAATCTAAACTTCCCCTGTTTCAGTTTGAACCCATTACCCCTTGTCCTACCACTACAGTCCCTAATGAAGAGTCCATCCCCAGCATCCCTATAGCCCCCCTTTAGATACTGGAAGCTGCTCTGAGGTCTCCACGCAGCTTCTCTTCTCCAGGCTGAACAGCCCCAACTTTCTCAGCCTGTCTCCATACAGGAGCTGCTCCAGCCCCTGATCATCCTCGTGGCCTCCTCTGGACTTGTTCCAATGGTTCCATGTCCTTTTTATGTTGAGGACACCAGAACTGCACACAATGCTCCAGGTGAGGTCTCACAAGAGCAGAGCAGAGGGGCAGGATCACCTCCTTCGCCCTGCTGGTCACTCCTTTTGATGCAGCCCAGGATACGGTTGCTTTCTGGGCTGCAGGCGCACACTGCAGCCGGCTCATGTTCATTTTCTCATTGACCAGCACCCCCAAGTCCTTCTCTGCAGGGCTGCTCTGAATCTCTTCTGTAAAAATCCATGTGCATGAGCCATGTTTGAGTCCATGTGCTTGTGTGGTCTTTGTGCCCAATTCACCTCCCTGTGCAGGAACACAGACTACACTGAGCATCTTTGTACAACCTTCGGTGTTTAAGTTTGGGGGCTTTTAATTGTGCTTTATTTTTTAGATGGTTTTTCCCATTTTACCTTTGTAGAAACACTCGAGGGCCCTGTGCATTGTCAAGGTATCAGTTCCTGACACATTCATCAGCAGGCGGTCCCTCTGAAATACAGGACACAGTTTTTGGTCAATACCCTGCATCATAAACGAGCAAATACCACAGTGAGATACTGAGGGCTGCACAACATGTAGATGCCACCTATTCTGTGTGGAAAACCCACATTAAGGGCAAAGTGTGTAAAATGAACAGCTCAAACAGATATAAAGTTATGGTTATTACTCGTAACACACAATTTGCAACCACTTCATGGGAGATCGTTGTTCAAGCAGTGCTGTCCCAAGTGGACATCGAGGCTGTAGGTTGTTATAGAGGTAATCTGGGATTATCTATGGGTTTTACAAACAACACTGATGGAATAGTAAGGATTTTACAAAAAAACATTTACAGAGCTTCCTCTTAGGTATTTTTTTCTCCTGGTCTATTAGGTGATATTATTTTAGAGATGCCAAATTAGAACTTTAAACACTATCAGCAGTGTTAAAGCTTTGGAGGTGGAATGGGAGGGCACAGAACCCCAGACCAGTTTGTGTTGAAGGGACCTTAAAGCTCCTCCAGCTCCAACCCCTGCCCCGGGCAGGGACCCCTTCCACTGGAGCAGCTTGCTCCAAGCCCCTGTGTCCAACTTGGCCTTGAGCACTGCCAGGGATGGGGCAGCCACAGCTTCTCTGGGCACCCTGTGCCAGCGCCTCAGCACCCTCACAGGGAAGAGCTTCTGCCTAAGAGCTCAGCTCAGTCTCCCCTCGGGCAGGTTCAAGCCATTCCCCTTGGCCTGTCCCTACAGGCCCTTGTCCCAAGCCCCTCTCCAGCTTTCCTGCAGCCCCTTTAGGCACTGGAGCTGCTCTAAGGTCTCCCCTTCAGGAGCCTTCTCTTCTCCAGGCTGACCCAGCCCAGCTCTCTCAGCCTGGCTCCAGAACAGTGCTGCTCCAGCAGCTCCATGGCCTCCTCTGGGCTCGCTCCATCAGCTCCACATCCCTCTCCTGTTGTTGAACATTGCATATTAAAAATAACATCTGCTCACAGGCAGAAGAACCCCAAATTTAATTATGTGTGTGTGTACGTAAATACAGAGCCGCAGGATGCGATAACAGCTCAAACACCATCCAGCATTCCCAACAACGCCACCGGCCCCTCCGTCCTGTCAGGCACTTTCCCGCCCTCCGTGAGGAGAGGAGCGCGCACGGGCAGTCGCCTCTGCGCATGCGCAATGGCCGCCGCGCCGACGGGCGCCTGCGCAGTAGAGCTGTGAGCCCGGAGTCAGGCACGGGGGTAAGGCGGGGAGGGGCAGCCATGGGGGTTTCTTGGTGGGACGGGGTGCGGGGGGGCTCCGGTGCCGGAGCCCCGGGGAAGGGGATGCGGGAGGCCGTGACCGCGGGGAAAGCTGCCGCTGCCGGGTCTGCGGTGCCGGTACGGGGCGGTGCGGCGCAGTCCCCCTGGCAGCGGGGTGAGGGTGTTGTGAGGCGGCTGCTCGTGTCCTGCCCTCAGGGTCTGTGGAGCCGGGTGGCTTCTGTGCGGTGCCGGCCAAAGCGATGAGCTGAATTGCTATCGGGGAGCGCCGGTCCCGGCACTGCTGACCCTGAGATCCCGGAGTGGTTTCCTTGCTGTTCGCAACCTCCCCTGGGTTTGTGCTCCGTGAGCTTGTCCTGCTTCATCCTGAGCTTGTGTTAGTTTTCCGTGTATGCAGTCTTGTGGGTTCCTTGGCTTTACCGGTTCTGGCTCTTTAAAGTTCTCATCAGGGAGAAAAAACCCACCAAAGTAGTTGGTTTGGGTTGGTTAGGTGTCATCTTCTCACTTCTGCAGGTATCTGGATACAGGAGAGTTTATAAAGTGACTGCAGTTGTTTTGGGAGGAACTGATAGCATTAATTCGGAGCTGCTTGGAAGACCATACAAAGCCACCTCTGAGGGAAGAGGTAGAAGGTGCAGAGCATGGCATCGCTGAGCACAGGGACTTAAATAGCTGTGAACAGGAAAAGAAGTTCAAATAGGAGACAGACTGTTGTGCAGGGTAGTTCACAAAATGACCCAAGCCAAAGTTAAGATGGTTAAAACAATATGCGGGATGATCTGACAGAAGCATCTTGGAAAGCTTAGTT